ATTATGGTAAGATACAGAGCCTGTTGTAGCTTGGCTACTGGGTAGAAAGAAATACAAATATCAATGGGACGAGAGGGAGTCCATATAAGAGGCAGCCTGGCTCTGTCCCTCAATGAGGAAACTTTCTTGGTGTCCAAGATGGGTCTAGGATCCAACTGATTCATTTTCTAGTCAGTACCCTGACCACTACGCTATTGAACAAAAGGTAGGTATGTCTTCCTCCTCAAACAGTCCCTCAGTGGACACGTCTACATGAGACGCTGACTGCGCATTAGCATCTCATGGCAAAAACTGTGCCAAGACGCTACTTTGCAGTAGTGTTAGGCAGTAATGTCACAAAAAGGTGTTCACCAGTGATAATGTGCAGTAACTTTGGTTATTGCACATTTATTTAATACTTGCTTATACAAGTACTAAATAAATGCTCAGTAACCACTATGCAGTAGCATCTCATGTAGATGTGCCCAGTGTGGGGATTTTCTGTCTAAGGAACTGGGGATTTGCAAGGAGTTTGTGCTTCTCTGATGGAACTAGACAGTGGAGTTTACACTGACTCATTTCTGAGCATGTGCAGTGGTGTAATTGTAGCGCCTAGGGATCTTTCCAGGTCAAAAGGTATTTAGGCAACTTAGTGATTTGAAGGCTGCTGTATGGAATGCAATCAGATCATATTTAGTGATTTAGATGCCAAAGGCTTTGTACAGAAGTGCTTTGTACATATTTTACAGCGCTGTAATTTAGAGCACTTTTTATAGCACTATAAAGTTAAAGCAGTCTTAAACATGACAGAAGTGCAGTGTTTGGTCTGGGCGGGCACTGTAACCATTTTTAAAGTGCTATAAAACCATGCACTGCTGTCAAGTCACAGCAATAAGGTGCTTTAAATGGTGAAAAAAGCAACTTCTGTATGGACCCTAACAGCTTTGTAAGTGTCACTTAGAGGTGGAATAGAATTTGGACCATTCTTATCTTAACACATAATTGTAAAATTAGAGATGGGCCCAGCTCTGATGATGCAAACTGAGACCTGACAACTTTCAACCATTGAACTCCTAATCTCTATGAGCTTTTCATACAGTTCTAATCTTCATAAGGGACCAACCCAAATGCAAAGATCGAAAACAATATCCCCTATCCTCAAATCTAGCAGATTTGATCCAGATATGCAGCTGAGGTAGCCGATCTTTTTACCAAATCAATTATTAAATAACTTGCTTCTTTACATTTATTTCCGTTTTGACATTGTCAAGAAAATCCTTCAGCCACTGCTTAAAATACTGGATATGAAGTTATGGGTGTCTCGGATACAACGCTTACTACCTAGATGCCTTATCATGAGGGCTTTTCACTGTATTATCTCCAGACAGATTTTAATGTAAATCACCTGCAGCAAAATAGCATTTGCTCCCTGGCAGCAAGCTCTGGCTTGTCAGGTTAACATATTTCCACACATACAAGTCTCTGCTTGACAGACAGGCTGATGGTCACTGACAAAATATGTCCGAATTCCATATCTGTCCTGTACATTAATACTATAAGCTTGCTGGAGGGCAAAAATAACCCTAATATCAAACAAAGGAAATGAAGCTAATAGAATCCCATGAAATTTAAACTTTCCCTTGAAAGAAATATAAGGAACCTGTTTAAATGGTGGAAGGAGATATCCATTCCTCTTATAATAATAGATAACATTACTTTCTTGCTTAACAGAAGGGATTATACATATCATATGGAGAAAAATAATTGGCTTGTGAAACCATTAGAAAATGCTAGAAAAGCTATGGATTTGGAGTGACAACCAGTATATATTACTAGTGACACATAAAAAGTAACTTGTGTAGATTTCCAAAAATTTTCAGTCAATGACATTCTTGAAAGCTAACAAGTCATTACATCATAGTTTCACATGTTTTAAGCATATATGCCTCTTAATAAACCAAAGGGGTTTTTTGAAATTAATACTGTCAATTCCTTTATCACAAGACAAATGGAATAAGATTTGGAAGAATGTTTACACTGCAGTTTGATCCATCTCTACTCTCAAATCTTCCTCTTTTTCTATTATAACATTTTGTAAGATTGATTCAGGGAAAAATATATTGAAATTTTCATATTTTTGTTCTAATTTGGTACAAAAAAAATAAAAATCTGGGAATTTCCTATAGAATAGAAAAGTCAGTTAACAATCCACTTCCGTGGACATGATGCTTGGGAATCATGCTGCCATATACACAGCCACTTCAGTGGAGTGTGTCCCTTGTTTTGGTCTGCACCATTGAAATTCTATAAACTACTAGAACTGAGATATAACTTTATATAAGCAAAATTTAATTCATCAAGCAAACGTGAACATCTAGAATGGTGAACCTGTCAGGTCTGGATGGGTCCTCAGATCAGAGGAAGGATACCTGATTCCCCATACCTTTTTCAACTGTACAGTTGGTCTTGTAAAAGATATTACAAAAAGCCTTGCCTTTCAAACCTGGCTGAGAAATCCTATATCTATACCAAATGACTGATTCCACTTTCATGCTAGTGCAGGTTAGGCAGTAGTGTAACTAGGGGTGGGTGGGCGGGGTAAACACCCTGGGCACTAACTTAACTAGGGGTGGGTGGGCGGGGTAACCACCCTGGGCACTAACTTAATAGGGGTGCCAGAATTGCACCCTGGCAGCAGAAGCAGTACCACAACATTGCTCTTGCAGTAGCGGGTAGGTGCATGGACACTGTGCTTCTGTTGTTGGAGACAGAGTGAGCAGACACAAGTCCTGTCCCCTAGGATAGATCGCGCAAGCAGCCACAAGTAAGTAATGCCCCAGGGTCGGGGGCGGGGGGCAGAGGTGGACCCCAGGGATGGAGGGATCCAAGGGAATCCTGGGAAGCAGGGGACAGGAAAGAAGCCTGGAATGGAAAGTGGGGGGAGGGCTGGAGGGGGAATTCTCACCTTTCAGTCCTCCAGGTCCCTACTGACTTGAACATGTGACTGCTCCAAACTGGAGCTCACCCTAACACCAATCAACATTTGTGTACCTCACAGCATAAGGTGTAAAAAGGCCCTAAGTTACTCGTGGTATAAATCTAGCACACATGAGAGGCCTTTTGGGCTCTAATCTTTTGTGTGCTTGCAATCCTTGATCGTTAAAAGTAAGTCTTGGCAGTAGTGATTGTAATCTGACCTGAATTTAATTCAAATGTTCTGCCTAAGGACTTGTTTGTTTATGGTAACCAGTTCTGTTACGTTTTATTTCATAATGCATGTGATGAGGGCACAGTCTAGTTCCTTCCATATTCATTTACAGGATGATTAATGTACATGTGGAAAAGACACTCATTTAAATATATAGCTTGCTAATTAATGAGGTGATACTCAGAATGTCGGAACCATTTCAGAAAATAAACCAATTAACACAGCATTTATAATAGTTACTTTTTCTAACAGGGAGACAGATTGAGTAGACCTGACCGCTTCTGTATATTCAGAAATATGAAATGGTATAATTAATTTACAATGTATACTTGAATAAACATAGGTGGTCTCCAGTAAATGATATAATAGGTAGGAGGTGGGGCCTGGACATAGCTCAGTGAACTTTCACTAGAATAGTATTTTTTGAAAATTAAGAATGTCTGGAATTTTTTCCAAGTAAAAAAGGTGTTTTGTGGTTTTATTGTACCAGCACTTCAAGAGTGTAACATAGGTTCCAGTTGTGGTAGATGATCTAATTAAGCAGGTAAGGTAACAGTTCCTACCCCAAGAGCTTAAAATGGAAGTAGACAAGACAAGAGAGGGATTAATGTAAAAATATTACTCACTATTTTAGAGAGAGATTGAAGGTATGGACAGCTCATTTCTACTGCGCAGTAGCATCAGAAAAAAACTGTGTGGGGATACTGGTTACCATGCAGTCATTTAGTACTTGGTTATGCAAGTACTAAATGACTACTCAGTAACAACTGCACAGTCTGCCACTTTTGTAGAAATGGCCACAGTATCTCAGCACTTCATAACATTACAAGAATATAATATATTGGGGTGTATTCCAACCCCCTGGCTGGAGAGCTACAAAGTCGCCTCAAAGATGTGCTGTCTAGCCAGGGGGAGATGTGGTTGCTCCTTTGCTCTCCCTGACTTCTGTGGCAGGGGATGGCTGTCTCTAGCTTGTGCCACGTGGTAGAAACTGCTCTCCAGTCCTCCCCACTTCTGGGTGTGTTACGCATAGCTCTACAAAATGTAGCCTCACAAAGGAGTTGGTTTTTTAAAAGTGATAATATTTTATAGAGCTTTTGGAATCTTTTAGTGCTACTAGAAGCTCAAATGCCTGCACACTCACTTTTTGCAGTGGTACAAAGGCATGTTTTTCACTGCAACTGGAGCACCTGTCCATGGCCTGAGACAGTTTTTGACTTGAGGAACTGTGGAATTATACCGCAACATCTCCAGAGTCCACAGGATAACCTTCCTCTTTATATTGAGAGAGAAGGGAAATAAAAAGAAAAGCAGTAATGTTATTGCTCAGTGCTCTCCCCAGCATTGAGAGGGTCCAGAGGAGGGCCACTCATATGGTCAAGGGGCAGTGGGGCAGGCCGTACAAGGAGAACCTATTCAGCCTCCACAAGAGAAGGCTGAGAGGGGATCTAGTGGCCATTTACAAAACTCACCAGGGGAGACTCGCGAGAATTGGGGGAGGCTCTGTTCAGGAGACATTACAGTCAGAGCTGCCAGGCTGTGGAGTGGGCTCCCAAGTGAGGCGGTGCTCTCTCCTATCTTGGGAGTCTTCAAGAGGAGGCTGGCCAGATATTTGGCTGGGGTGATATGACCACGGCACCCATTCCTGCCCGGGGTAGGGGGTGGACCTGATGATCTGTTTAGGTCCCTTCCGACCCTAAGCACTATGAAACTATAAAACTATGTTACTCTGTCTCAGAGCATCTCTGATTGTCGGAAAAAAATACCTAAAACATATGACATTTAGATAAAAGATTATTTTATGTTGTTTTAGGACACAGCAGGTCAGGAGAGATATAGAACGATTACCACGGCCTATTACCGAGGTGCAATGGGCTTCATTTTAATGTACGATATCACAAATGAAGAATCCTTCAATGCTGTACAAGACTGGTAAGTAAAAGTTGGTGTTAGAATTAAGTATTTGTTACTATTTATATGCTGCTGCTCTTAGGCTATTTTGGAATATATTTGGAATATTCTCAAAATGTGATCAAATCAAAGGTATTATTTACTTCTTGTCAATTCATATTTGATTTTAAAGGCATTTTTCATTTGGTAGAAACCTGGCTTATGAATGATGATGGAAAGATTTGATGTGCTATTCAAATGAAGCATTGCCTTCTTTTCCAGATTTCTCAAATATATTTTGCCTAAAGTGTCAGCCTTTAGTTTTCTGCTTTGAAAAAATACAACAAATGCTTTAATATCTGTTGCATATAGTTTATTGCATTCACTGTGTTTTCTCTGCTCTTGATTAATATTTTAACATTTGCACTTTAGCTTTCCATGTATTATTTGTAGGACTAAATCAAATGCTGCATTAGCATGTAAGACAGCTATCAAGGACAGCAATAAAACATTCCATAATGTGAATATCCTGAAGAAAATGGTGACACCATTTTGTGGGGCTTGTTTTTTTATTTATTTCTCTATCATGTTCCTTTGAGCCTCTTTTGCTAATTATTGTTGTCCAAGTATGATGCTTCTAGAACAAAAAGAACCTGAAAACTTCACAAAAGGAATAGCTTTTTACTATTATTAATTATGTTATAAATATATATAGTACATATAATATAGTTATAGTAAGTTGTGAGCAATGTCAGTGTGTTTGTAATTCAAAGCAAGATTACATCTATGGTTCTGAAACATTTTGCAGTCATAGCTGAGATTTCATCCTGTTTTCCATTTATTAATTTTACCTACAGTTCATTATGGTATATTGATATACTTGGGTCTTTCTTGAACATTCAGACCTTGTTTATGAATTGTACTGGGAGATTTTGTGTGACTAGAAGGCTTGCTCTGTGGAACAGAACATCTTCAGACCAAAAGCAGGGATTGAAACATGTCCTGAATCACCAGCCCTGTACTGACAACTCACAGATGTAGCTCCTAGTCAAGCCCTTGCTTGCCAGCCAGTCACAGCTTAGTGAGAGAAGGGTTTTAGCCTTAATAGGTGCATGCACACATGCAAGCATGTGTGCTTGCAGCAGCTCAGATAGAAGCAGTGCAAATTTGAGCCCAAGCTTTTTGCCTCAGTGCATGTGCCTGGACATGCACTTTGGTGTGGGGCAAATGTGCCACTTGAGGCAAAATAACCCTGCCTGGCTCCTCCTGGATCTGCAGCCACGGTGAGCTAGAGCCCAGGGCCAGGACCTGTGCTCTCCCCAGCAGTACAGAAAGCTGCCCTGTCAAGCAGCTCAGGGCTACTCGCTCTCAGGAGGTTCTGAGGCCCAGCCAATTGGTACCTGGGGACACTACCCCTTGTGCCAGCTGGACTGCTGAAGCAGGCCTGAGAGTTCCCTGCACCCTTGACCCATTGCAACAGTCTGGAAGTGGGGGCTGCTGCCTGGCTGTGACTTGCTGCGCATCTGCCAGACCTGGATGGGGACTGCACAGCCAGTAGAGGCATTTGCCTCTCTGGGCCACCTGCCAGTGGGCTGTGGCTGGAGAGTTGGCCTTTGTGCCGCACTTGTGCCACCTGTGCCCTCTGCCCGGCCATCTGGGCAGCTATTGCCTGGAAAATGTTCCGGGCATGGTGGCTTGCTTTCAACTGTCAAAGCATGTCTTCCTGGCCCCAATTAGCCAGGTGGTCAGCCACCTCCAGCTGGGTCCAAGGTGCCAGCTCTGAGCAGGCTCCTCTGTCTGGGTCCTGCCACTTGCCTCCCTAGCAGGAATTCTAGTGTTACCTATTTGAAATCTGAAAAATCCCTGATAAAAAAATCCTAAAGTCACTCTGCAAAATACCCTGAAATCCATGTTCCTCCACAATTAAAACAAAAGACCACTATATATATATAACGCCTCTCTCTGTCTCTGTCTCTCTCCGAGACAGAGAGAAGTTGGGCAATGTTTTATTGATATATTTACAGTGTTAGAGCAATTTGGAAGCCTACCAGTGCCTCTATCATTGTAATATAATGAATTCTACATGCCTTTGTTTTGCTGTTTCCCTTTGGTTTTCTTACCCTAGAGCAGTTAGAGCTCCCCCTGACCTCTTCACTAACCAGAATATGGGGACAGTTGCCCCTGGAGCCACAGCTTCTGACAGCAGGTCTCATCTTGTCTGGCAGCTGGGCACACAGGGTGTATGCTGGAGGGATGTGGGGTTTGCAGGAGGGTGTAGGAAGGGAGATGTGGGTGGCTGTGGAGGAATGTGGGTCACTGTGCGTGGATTGTGGAGAGACTGTGCAGGGGGGATGATTAGGAGGGGTTGGTCCCCTGCCCCCCACAGGGCACAGTCACCCTGCA